AGATTACAGAGCGGTTATTTTCCTTTCTGGTCAACAGCAAACATGCGACGTAATATCCGTCAAGTCAGTTGAAGCAGCAATTTCCAAAGTAAAAGCTGTTTTTGAAAGGTCGACTGCAATCTTTTCAGTTTCAGTCCTTGGAGACATCAAGCCATTGAGTGTATTCCTTCACTATCATGGTTTGTTTTTCTTATGATTCAGTTTACATTGTTTTAAGACATTTAAACTTTTAAAGTTGTATGGTTCCTTGATTCGACCTTCAATCTTACACCGAAAAATTAACAGAAGGTCTGTGGCAACACTAATAAATTGAGAATAGAGTAGAATAATGCATGACAAATTGAGAAACAGCTGGCTCATCCTGTATTACTTATAAAATGCAGGTTTATTGTGTTTCAAAGTTTGCAACTACAATGATATTTTTCTCAGAAGGGAACAAAGATATTCCAATAGCCCTTCCAGACTTCTCTGCAGTATCGGGCCCCTACACAATCTCACATCATTTAAAAGAAGTGTATTCTTGCGACGGTGGTCTTTACAGCTTCAGGTGTTATTTCATTCGAAAAATTGTATATTAGAAATTACTTAATTCAGCCACTTATCGTATTACTTTTATTTTTTGTAGAGATAATCGTGATATATATTGTTGTCGAAGCATCGACTTTGAATCCGATAAAGGTCACAATCAATGAAGTTTACTAGATCATATAGAAATGATAATATGTAAATTGATTACATACATGGTCCAAATTTGCATGCCCCCTCAGGATTAAGTTGGACACTGGATTCGAATTCAGTACTGATGAGACGACCCTAAAAATAAAACAACGCTGTAAGCCACCCCGTACACCACCAAATGCACATTTGAAAATGGTCAGTTTCTATGGATATGGTATTACATATTAAATAGTCAGATTAAATCTAATAAGCATTTCATTTTCTCGATTTGACAAGTCCTTTTTTCATATCCATTATACTCAATGAATCCATTTTGCAGGTTGAAATTGCTGAATCGGACGACTATAAATATGTCGTTACGTGCATTGATGTAAAGATGGTTTTCATGAACGAGGATGCGAAGGAAGTGGTGTGTAACACATCAACTGGATTATACTACAATAGAACTGATCTTAGTCCTTGTTTAAGGGTTATCGAACAAATTTACCCTCAATAAAAGGGCTTGAAACCTTCAAATCATAGCTCATATATTCATATATATGTGGCTTACACTTAAAAATAGACTTTCGTGAGCAATTATTATTAAATGCTGTTATTTTTTGGTAATTGTTTACAGACAAAATTGAACTTTTTTCGATCAAATAGTTTGATATTTACATTATACATAATTAACCCGCATTTTACCCACTGATTGGGTTACTGTAGTGGTAACCATTATCGTTTAGTGTACTGTTTAATCAGAATTTTTCAACTCAATAAAATTCTTCTCCGTTTTTTCGTCAGGTTTGATAAAACCAAGTTAATTTTAGTGAACCATCCAGTGGAGGGCAGCTATGACATTGATTTTTATGGTGTGAACTGTTTATAAGTTTATGTGACTATGAGCAGTGAGCACTGAGCAGGGTATAAATGCTGTTCATTACTTAATTTTTCATCAACATGAGAACCGTGAAATTCAATTAATAGCGAATAGGTTTTCTAATAATCCATCTACGATTACTTATTGATTGATTTTTGGATCGAATTTTAATTCGTCTTATTTTATTGAAATGAAGACATGATAGTGACAGGAAATGTTATGCTTAGTTGATATTACCGACTGCAATCATTCTTTCGAGTAGTACGATCATGATGATCAAACCTGTTATATTTTATTTTTTAAATGACGTTCGAAAATATTCATTTCGATGTTGTCAACTATGTAGACTTTTAAAATTATTACACATCGAATCGATTTGTTCATTATATGATGCTTTTATTTGTACCACGGCACATTATTGAAATCTTTATTTTATGGACATGTTCATTGTTCATGTCACACTATGAGACTTTGTAAACCCTCAATGGTTAAAATACTCGTCTCATCCTCTGGGCAAACTTTGTCATAGTACATATATAATATAACGATATGCTGCCAGCTGCTGTGTTTGAAAAAAAAATTTGAATGTCGAGTTGATAAGATAGTTTCATACGACTTTTTTTACTTTGTTAGATGGTACCCAGGTACCATTTAACCATTTCCGTCAAACATTTAAAAAAATATATGAAATCACTGCACAAAGAGACTGATCCTGTTTCACTAAAATTAACCACTTGCCAGGAAATTTTAAGTACAGTAGTAGTAGTACGTTTATTTTTAATCACGACGGGACTCCGAAGTTGATCACGTGGTCCCCACGTGTGCAAATTTAAACTTTTCAACTTTTAAACTAGTTTATGCCATTGCCACAATATAGACCTAGGGGCCATCTACTTAAGAAGTCCACCAAAATCGGGTACGGTGTGTCCGAATTTTCAAAACCACCCCCTCCCCCGGACGTCCGGATTTCCAGCTACTTTTAATTAAGATTTAAGAGTACAAATAAAACCAACTCAAATTCATTGTTAATAAAATGTGTAGTTACTTTAAAAAATAGACAATAATAAATTTGTGTCGAACAAGTTTAGCGCAGTTACATTTAAGTAGCCATCCAATCGAACAAGTTTAGCGCAGTTACATTTAAGTAGCCATCCAATCGAATAAGTTTATAGGCAGTAGGAGAATATGCGAGTTGTGTCTCGGCTCTCTCGATCGTGAGCTGCTCTGGGAATCGACTTCTCGTTCAAAATACAGGGATCTAAACTAACGAAGTAATTACAAAGCTATTTTTATTCGCGTCATCTTTAAAGTTGAATTACAATTTTGCTTTGTTACTGAAAATGAACCTGCTGAACGGCTTTTGATGATTTTTAATTTAAAAATAAATCAATAAAGAAAATTTACGCCGGGTGTAAAACTAAATGTTCGTGCTTCATGTTTGCCAGCATTGCTTGCCAGACACTGTAATATCTCCACTTTTTTACGGTCAAATTTTCTTTCAGATAATATTGCCGTCGTACAGCATCATGAACGAATACTTTGAAAAGCTCAGTGACAGTCTATGCAGTCTAACCTAAAACCCTATTCTTCCCACGTAAAAGCACGTATATCACGGCATATACCACTATTAAAGTATACTAGGTCAGCTCCTCAGTATACAATTTCATGGTTCCACCTCCGATCGAAGGAACTAGAAAAAAATATGATCCAGAAAAAGAACTTTGTGGTACTTTTTGGGTTAATCACGGATGATAATAGCTTCTCATCGTTAGATTTAGGCGGTTGGAAGTGTATAAAGGGTGTTGGGATGTGTATTGTGTTGTCATCCAAATTCCGAATTCGAATGATCTTTTTTTCAGTTGTTGTCTAAATTCCAGCTTTACGTAACAGTTTTTTTACTGTTAAATAAAGTGCTTTTTAATTTTACCAAGCGTTCCATGCCTAAAAGGGGTTCACCCTGATGTTTTGTTGTGAAACTCGGTTTCGAGATAGCAGATGACCAACAAACTAGGACCAGTGACCGAACTTTTGAGGGGGTCTCAGACCCCATGCCAACCGCCAAACGGTGCCTGCGAGGCAGCCACGCCCATATTTGGTCCTAGTTATAAAAAACTAGGCCAAATTATAGGCCAAATTTTAACCAAATACCCTGAACATGCCCAAAACCCAGGTTTTAGGTGCTCAACTTGTTATGTAGCTAGTGGTCCCCTGAACTCGTATGTGAATTTTCATTAAGATGGGGCAAGAAATGACTGAGTTATGGGCTAAAACTAAAAAGCTTAACTACACATTCTCTACAATTATCAGCTCAATATCTACTTATAACTGTGGATTCGGTGTTCAAATAATAGTAAAAATGAACAAAATCGCCCATATCTCACATCTTAGTTCGCGATATTTGCGAAACTGATTTCGCTCAAAACAGTAGAACTCAATAGGGTTTCAAATTCAATATTTTTCATGAAATTTTCAGAATCAACGTAATTTAAAATCGAATTTTATTTTTGCGACCTTGTAGTGGAATTTTGAATTAGGCCTTTGGCGGCTTAATTCTAAAAAATGCACAGCAAATTTTAGAATTTGGCCGCCAAATTTTTGTAATGTTTAATGTTCAGGGTATTTTATTTGGCTAAATTGGGCCTAGTAGTAGTACTAGTATAGCTTGGACCAAATATGGGTGTGGCTGCCCCGCGGGCACCGTTTTGCATGCAGTTGGGGTCCGGGATCCCCTCAAAAGTTCTATCACTGGTCCTACTCCTACTAGTACTCCTAGTTTGTTGGTCAACTGCTATCTCGAAACCAATTTTCTCAAAAAAAATCAGGGTGAACCCCGGCCCTTAATTACTGTACACTCGATTTTTGAAACCTATTTGAAACGATGTATTTTTAATTTCTGGTTCCGAATCACCCCACGGCCCACATTCTCGATCACGTCATATGACCATATAAGTATAACTAAAAGCTAAAGGAATTTGGTCAAATTTCTCGTTAGGGTTTATTTCAGTATATACTTCAGTTAGGGATTGAGTTAGGGTTAGGATTGGGATCAGATTAGAGGGTTAAAGTTTCGAATAGTCATTCAGGGCCACCCAGAGAACGTGTTAAAATATCACGTGACAGTCGAGTGTAGAGTGATTAATCATCAATTCATTTTGCTTCTAGTTTGCATATTGATATAATTATAACAATTATAACATGGCTTCTTGACCGGTGAAGTTGTTTTCTTCAAAAGTTCTCTACTATCATCAGGGGTGTAAACTATTAAAGTATTTGCGAAGGAGCATTGTTGTTCATTTTATTATTTTGTTCATGTTGTTTTGATTAGTTCCCAGAGGATCGCATGCAATGAGATTTTATGTCGCGAAATAACAGTTTCACTTTCACTTGTAAGTTGTAACATCTCGTTAGTAGCATTAGCAAGTACTAGTATGAAACAGTTTCACTTTCCTTTGTAACATCTCGTTAGTAGCAAGTGATAATATGAAACAGTTTCACTTGACAGTTGCTGCTCTGCTGATACTGCTAGTGCCAGACGTCATTAACGCTGGGCTTAACGAGCTTGAGGACGCAGCTAAAGGTAAAAATAACATGGTTATAAACTTAAAGCATTATTTGTTTATAGCATGATTAGTATATAATGGTTGCTACACCTTGTATACCTCTTAGTCTTATCACTTATCTTATGTTTTAGCGGCCACCGCGCGCGAAACGAGGTATACTACGTACGTGTAGCTATGCCTATATAATAGTATAATGGAGTAATTACGTTTTTATTGGTTTACGGCTAACTGATATTATGTATCAAAATTTTCAGTTGAACGAAATCACAGTGCTAGTAAGCACAATTACCCTCCCTGTAAGTACACCCACAGTGTACTGTGAGTGAATTGTAAAACTAAAAGGGCGTTTCATAAATAATGTCCAGATTTTTTAAATCAGACAGTTAAGTTTACTGAAATTTGAATAATCTCATATTTTATAGTCTTACTACCCAAATTTAAACTATCAAAACTAGTAACTATTACTAACATTGAACATGTAATGTGTAAATAATCTCATTTTAGTTCTCCGGGCTAAAGACTGCAGACCAAGGAAGCACAACGTTCAGGACTGTAGCTGCCTTCAAGAGATGTTTGTTAAAACTCAGTGTATAGAACGACTGGGCGAAAAGTTCATCAACCACAAATACAAAGGTAACTATATAGTAACCAATAGTAACCAATAGTTACCACTAGTAACCCTGTTCATCAACCACAAATACAAAGGTAACTATAGTAACCAATAGAAACCACTAGTAACCCTGTTCATCAACCACAAATACAAAGGTATGCTAAAAGGCAGCATAGAAAACTTAAGGGGCATATTTTAATCCATCCCAACGTTTTTCTGCTGGGATCGGATAAGTAACTCACCAAAATGTAACCCTGTTATATGCATATATATGCCTATTATATTTAGCGGCCAGGTAGCGCAGTTGGTTAGAACGCCTGTCTTACAATCGTTAGGTTGCGAGTTCGAAACCCACTGACTGCCTGGTCGTGGGGTGAGTGTCGTCGACGTTCAGCTAAGGATCATGAGTGGTCTATGCAGCCCCCCGGTCTACTCAGCCGAATACTCGAGAAATCGGGTGTGAGGGTTAAATGAGGAGCTGCACATTGCAGCAAAGTCTCGGACGAAGAAAGTATGGTATACACTACCTTAACCGTCACTGGCCAAAAAGATCCTTCGGCTTCCTGTAATTGGCTGGTTGCACTTGTGTAACATTGTGGCTGTTGGAATACACCGAAGTAAAATAAGTGTCTAGATAAAAAAAAAAAAAAAATATACTACCTATGTACCCTGTATATAGGTTAAGGTACTGGTAGTGTGCTATCGACAGTGAGCCTTCAGCCTTAACAGTGTTGAGGTCAAGATTTCAAGGTCCTTAACAATGCGCGGCTTACATGTAAACTACATGTAAGCCGCGCATTGTTAAACTTAAGGACCTTGAAATATTGCCAAAAATTATCAGGTGAAATAAGTATTTACGGTTTTGCAGCAGAACAAAATTGAACATTGATGTGTATAATTTCAGATCCCAAGCCGTCAACCTGTGTGAAACATTTCAACTATTGCTACGGGTTTGAGGGGGATGAAACAAAGACGTGGTACAACCAGTGCTGCCGGTCGATGCTCTGTTACATGAAACTCAGAACCTGTGTTTAGTTATTTTACCAATTTAGTGTTACTAAGGTGTTACTAAGGTGTTACTAAGGTGTAACTAAGGTGTTACTAAGGTGTTACTAAGGTGTTACTAAGGTGTTACTAAGGTGTAACTAAGGTGTTACTAGGTGTACATGGTACAACCAGTGCTGCCGGTCAATGCTCTGTTACATGAAACTCAGAACCTGTGTTTAGTTATTTTACCAATTTAGTGTTACTAAGGTGTTACTAAGGTGTTACTAAGGTGTTACTAAGGTGTTACTAGGTGTACATGGTACAACCAGTGCTGCCGGTCAATGCTCTGTTACATGAAACTCAGAACCTGCGTTTAGTTATTTTACCGTGAAATCTCCAAGTTAACATTTGGTAAACATTTTTCTATTAGGATCTATTATTAGTAAAATGCACCTGTGCCCTCTTAAAGTTAACTACTTCATCGGACATTTTGTAAACGGACACAATTTTGAAGTTGAACGGACATTAATGATTAAAATGAACTCTCAAAGGCATTAATTTAATATATTTAATTTAACTGCCTTGTCGGACTTTATTTGAACGTACATTAAAATGAACGCTAGGGCCTCCGCCGTCCAATTAATGTCCGTTCAAATAAAGTCCGGTATATAGAAGTAGAACTAGAAGTAGATAAAGATAGTGAAGGTGGAATTTTCCAATTAATTAACAACTTACCAACATTATTTACATTTATCGACTGTTTTCTCTACATTACTTTATTATTGATATTAAGCGTTTAAAAATGGTTCGTTTATCCTTGTCCGTAGACTTATCTCAAAACTTTTAAATTACACAGCAGAACGAATATCGGCCAGTGGAAACGGGCGGTATTGAGTCATTAATACGTGCGGTTCCGCATCCACCGCATTTTTATGTTGTCTCTGCAAACTGGGTGAGTTTTGCTGCAGCACGTGTAAGAAGTGACCCCATTTTGTTAGGTACAATAAAAATAACATAATTCAGTTTTACGGAAATAATACGATACATTGTTCATACTTTATTAGTGCACGATGGCGCACTACATACTTTATTCCAACAACATTATACAAAAATAATCATAATTTACAATGAAATGTGGTCACAGTTCCATGCAAAAGAATTGACACCAACTTGTATGAACTTGACCTAAACCGTGGTCGGCACAAGGATGATTGTGACGATAAAAAGAAGTGTTTAATTGTATTTCCCCGTTTATGGGTTGAGTAGTCTTTTCGTGACACTGTAATAACATCAACAATATCAGGATTAAAGAGCTGACTCACTAGGTGGTGATTGTTAAACTTCAATACTAAATAAAAACCCTGTTTCTCGCAACGACCCTTACAAATTATTCTTTTCTTCAATTTCTTTCATTGAAAGTGAACTGCTCCAGGCAAAGCGAAAAAGGTTCTTAAATTTGAGAAATATATTTTTATAATAATAATATTCAGATGAGTAATAACTTAATCTAATCATTTTAAAATTTAAATCATAAAAACAAGTAACTATAGTAACCAGTGGTAACCAATAGTAACCACTAGTAACCTCGTGTTTCAAGGAAGTAACTTGGTAATAAAAGCTTTAATTAAGGAAATCAAAACAAGAAGAAATAATTGTTCTGTGTGAAACTGTCGCTGTCTCGTGAGCTATATACACAGTCAAGCGGGCAGTCACGCGGGCAGTCACGTGGGCAGTCACGTGGGCAGTCACGTGGGCTGTCACGTGGGCTGTCACGTGGGCAGTCACGTGACTCTTTACTAGTATTACTGGAAATACTTCATTTGATTCAGAATTGTTTTCATGCAGGCTGCTCTCACAAGACAGTGACAATTCAGAATTCATTTTTTATCTGAAGGAAAATCTAAAGAAAAATCAAGACAAAAATATTTACAAATCTCATGTCCTAGGGCATTATACAGGGTGGGCCAGAATCATCTTAACACGCACAACACTTGAATAACATTCAGTAAATATCGACTTTCTAGTTCAGAGCGTTTCCATCTGATGACGAAAATAGAGGAAATGAAGGAGTGGCACACCCACTGTGCAACTGTAAGGGAATCTAAGTATGACTCTGTAAAGCTTTAATTATGTGCGTTATTCAACATGTTTGTACTGCTACACAGTGTACAGATTGTGAATTGTGGCCCACCCTGTTGTAGCGTTAATAAAATGGGTCCCCTTATAGTTAACCTGGGTTTTACAGCAACATAACTGGGACTAAAGTTGAAAATATTTGTAGATTTCTTTAGTTTAAGTAAAAAACCTATGCACTATGCCTCTCCCACTCAAAATACACACGATTATACCAGTATTATTACTGTAGTAACCAGTAGTAACCAGTAGTAACCAGTAGTAACCAGTAGTAACCAGTAGTAACCAGTAGTAACCAGTAGTAACCAGTAGTAACCAGTAGTAACCAGTAGTAACCAGTAGTAACCAGTAGTAACCAGTAGTAACCACCAGCATTATTACTGTGTGTGTAACTGTCCTTTAGTAAGCGCACGTGAGAGGGTCGTGTTAGTTGGCAGAAGATGAGACAACTTTTAACTACCTGAAGATATGTAATTCTAATAATGATTGAAGGTATCTTAAACTAAAAGAATAGCTTGAAACACTAAGCTCCCCCCCCCCCCCCCCCCCCCCCACCTCACAACACTATCACAATTCACATCTCAGTCACAGGTAGCCCATTTTACTCCCTCCCTCCCTCCCTCCCTCCCTCTCTCCCTCCCTCCCTCCCTCCCTCCCTCCCTCCCTCCCTCCATCCATCCATCCCTCCCTCCCTCCCTCCCTCCCTCTCTATCCTCCCTCCCTCCCTCATTCTGTATCCTCTCTTCCTTATCCCCTTTTTTCCTCCCTCTTTTCCCTTTCTACCCTTTTCTTCCTATTCCCTGTTCCCTGAATTTTCTACTCTATTTTTAGCTCACTTTTTTTCCTCACGAGACTTTACAGGAGGATTGATCTTGGAGAAGTTTCGGTTTCTCTATTACAGAGCGGAACTCAGCTTCCTCTTCCATAGACACTGTGTTGATATCGTCTCGTATCCTGTGACGGGTCAATAGACATTAACGCAACAATTGTAGCAAGTATTAATAGCTCAAGTAAGATAGAATTTGGACGCAATCATAGTTCAATCAAATGAAAAATCAAAAATAATTTCGTGATAATGTTTAGTGTTTACCTGAGCAAGAGCTCCCGCTTCTTAAGAATATCCCGATACTCTTCCTCTAGCTGTTCTTCTCGTTCCACGTCATGTACTGTTTTAGTCGTGTCTGAAACGAATTAGATAATATTAATTAATTAATTAATTAATTAGATAATATTGTCCCAGTATCAGTTACAGTATTCTCATCATGATTTATAACATCATTATGGTTCAAGTTAAACTGTGTATATCGCCAATAATAAAACAAAACACCTAGCTCTTAAGTAAGTAGTTCTATATTGTTAATCTATTGAATAGTGAATTATTAAATGTATTAATATTTACCTCCCCCTCCCTCCCTCCCTCCCTCCCTCCCTCCCTCCCTCCCTCCCTCCCTCCCTCTCTCCCTCCCTCCCTCTCTCCCTCCCTCCCTCCCTCCCTCCCTCCCTCCCTCCCTCCCTCCCTCCCTCCCTCCCTCCCTCTCTCCCTCCCTCCCTCTCTCCCTCCCTCCCTCTCTCCCTCCCTCCCTCCCTCTCTCCCTCCCTCCCTCCCTCCCTCCCTCCCTCCCTCCCTCCCTCCCTCCCTCCCTCCCTCCCTCCCTCCCTCCCTCCCTCCCCTCACTTACCGCGCATGTTCTGATATCTCCTCATCTCCTTGAGCACAACACAGCACCTCTCCTCTAGGTCCTCCTCGTTCTGCAGAGAGTTTAGATCGTCCTGTTTCCTCACCAGAGTGTTCCGCTCGTGTACCAGGTGGAGCCAGGACTTTAACAGCTTCTGCTCTAGTTCCTGATGAGGTGGAAATTAGTGGCAAATAGTCAGCAGTGCAAACGTGAAATTCTAGAAATAATTGCTGCTTAATCGTGTCTTCTGAAACTAGACGAAGTAGACAAAGTAGATGAAGTAGATGAAGTAGATGAAGTAGATGGAGTAGATGAAGTAGATGAAGTAGATGAAGTAGATGAAGTAGATGAAGTAGATGAAGTAGAAGAAGTAGAAGAAGTAGATGAAGTAGACGAAGTATATGAAGTAGATGAAGTAGAAGAAGTAGATAAAGTAGATGAAGTAGAAGAAGTATATGAAGTAGATGAAGTAGATGAAGTAGATGAAGTAGATGAAGTAGAAGAAGTAGATGAAGTAGATGAAGTAGATGAAGTAGAAGAAGTATATGAAGTAGATAAAGTAGATGAAGTAGATGAAGTATATGAAGTAGATGAAGTAGATGAAGTAGAAGAAGTAGATGAAGTAGATGAAGTAGAGTTGTTTAGTAAGCTAAGTAATAAACGAACGTGATTCTGAGAGTCCATGGCGACTCTGAGTTCCTTTTCCAGCACTTTAGCTCGCTTGTCTAACTTAGCGTTGTGGTGGGTTATCCGGGCATGACACTCACTCATGTAGTTCCTCACGTCTTGTAGGTCCTACAGACGGGGATTGTTACAACTTTACAACAGAGTGCAGAGGAGATGTTGTTACAAGGCCGGTTTTTATTATTAAATCAAAGTTCTAAACAAGGGATAGTTAAAAAACAACGCCCAAGTCTAATCTTTCCCTAAAAAATAACTAAATATCAAAAACTTCATTGCCGGGTTTTATTCATAACAAGAATTTCGCCGCGGTTACACCACGAACAATTAATATTAACTCTTTCACTATTATTTGCCATTTAACTAAATTATTAACTTACAAATATAACTACGCACAAGTGTACGGAGTTTTAATCTCTTGCAAACGGAAACCTTTCAAAGACAGCGCAAATTGATCAGTGGCAAAACTAGGGAACCAAACTGATCTTCCCCAGAAATACGTAAGAATTATTGATAAGTACGTTTACGTACGTGAACTTTTGCAGAAAACGCTAGGTATCTAACAGCATTGAAATAATTGTGATAAAACCGGATCCCTACAAAGACATTGAATTCTGTACAAAATAAGCGTACAATCACTTACTATGTTATATATAATATTATATATTATAATATATATTATACTATATTATAACTCCTGTAAAATCACCTGTTTATCAAGGGTGCTCTGATTGAGTTGGTTAGTCTCCTCCTCACTGTCATCCTCTTCCACAGGGCTCATATCATCTTCCCCAGGGGGTCCCATCATCAGCGCTAACGGTGCAGGGGTCGGTGGAGGCGGCGGTTCAGAGTTAACTGAGGTCACTGAGTTCGCTGAGGGGATGTTACATTATAACACGTACAGACGTCAGATATCTAGATATCAATAGTGAAATAAATCTTATAGTTTTAGAACTAAGAGCACGATACACACGTGTGTATATACTACTATAATACACCGGATGTAGAAAGAACAGTAAAATCACGGTACAGTGTACACGTAACGTGATATGGAATAAGTACCATTTTAACAGATAAACATACTGTTCAGTGGTCGGGTGTATATAATGTATAATGTATAATTATGCGGAATTTCTGAATAACCCCAGATTGTATTCACAATCAGTAAGTCTAATTAATGATAAAACTTGCAAACCTCTAACACAAGAGAACATGGCTTGTAACTACAACTATACAGGTTCAAATGTTAAACTAGCTGCTAGTTCTGAACATTGCGCAGATAAAATTACATACAAATACACTAGATTTACAAAAAGGAAATGTATGATTCTCGAGCTTACTGTGTACTGCAGCTGGCAGCTGCATAATATTAACCCTATTCTTCATTGGCCTCATGTGGATCACGTGACGTGAATACAGGCACATGATTGGTTAGTGTATATGAGCAGTGTAAAGTCAGTGATCCTATTGAACGGGAAGCCAGGGCGGGTATTGGTGGGTTGCTATGGTGATGTGTCACGTGACCATGGTGATATGTCACCTGACGTGTAGATAAGTGACACTGTACCTCAACACTTGATAACAACACTACATTTATACAGGTTAACTTAGAGATAGTCTGGCTGAAGACGCAACTATAGTAACCAGTAGTAACCAGTAGTAACCAGTAGTAACCAGTAGTAACTGGTACTGTTTAGTTTGACGTTTAACGAATAGTCCGGCAACGGAATCTTTATAGCTTTATTTTGCCACCTATATTATTGCATGTAGTGATTCTTTACAAATATTGCCGGAACTAATTTCCCCTGATTTTTCAAAAATCAGTACCAAAAGAAAACACTTTGCGAATGGTTTGAATCAACTAAAAATCTGCATTGTTTCCGCATTGTTTCCGCATTTTAAATACACAATAATTAGTTACCTAGACTTCCTGCTGCATTGCAAGCTGGTTCCTCCGCATGCATCTCGACTGAAGGAGACTCCGCTCGTGACGTGCTAGTTGTAGTCTCCTCAAATGAAGTTTCCGCTTCTGTCTTGGGGGAAAAGGAGGAGATGAGCTCTGTTAAAGATTGTATTTCCTTGCCAGCTGGCTTACGAGGGCTGGGAGGTGTTGGTTCCTCAATCACATGCTCGGGTTGTTCAGGTTGTTCATCAAGTGTAGGTTCTGGTGTTGTTTGCTCAGGTGTTGTTTGCTCAGGTGTTGTTTGCTCAGGTGTATCGACGAAAAGAGGGAACTCTTGCACTTCCCCAGGGGACTGCATGGCAACCTCCACTTGTTCCAAGTCGCACTCTGATCCTAGTTCTACAGGAGCTATTCTCGGTGCTACTTCCTCAGGAGCTATTCTCGGTGCTACTTCATCAGCTGGAGGTTCAGCTATCTCCTTAACCTCAGTAGTAGGCTGCTCTATAACTATTTCCTTCTCGACAGATACACTAGGTATTAAATCATCCTGAACAGTTTCAGGAGATTCAGGTGGGGTCTCCTGAGCTAGGAGCTCCAGAGACACAGCAGGTGGGGTCTCCTGAGCTAGGAGCTCCAGAGACACAGCAGGTGGGGTCTCCTGAGCTAGGAACTCCAGAGACACAGCAGGTGGGGTCTCCTGAGCTAGGAGCTCCAGAGACACAGCAGGTGGGGTCTCCTGAGCTAGGAACTCCAGAGACACAGCAGGTGGGGTCTCCTGAGCTAGGAACTCCAGAGACACAGCAGGTGGGGTCTCCTGAGCTAGGAGCTCCAGAGACACAGCAGGTGGGGTCTCCTGAGCTAGGAACTCCAGAGACACAGCAGGTGGGGTCTCCTGAGCTAGGAGCTCCAGAGACACAGCAGGTGGGGTCTCCTGAGCTAGGAGCTCCAGAGACACAGCAGGTGGGGTCTCCTGAGCTAGGAGCTCCAGAGACACAGCAGGTGTAGTAACCACTGGTTTAGAGACGCTCTCTTCAGACTCCTGTATTGATAGTGAGTCTGACCGTGAACTCGCTCTGGACTTTACACTCTCCTGGGAGCTAGATCTGAGCATGCTCACCTTCTCCATGCTAAGAGACCTGCCAACAGGTTTGGGTAGAACAGGTGGTTTGGAGGATTTGTTGCTGTCCTCAGATATAGTGGGAGAAGGACAGGCTGACATCAGCTTCTCCCGGGCACTGTGGAGACCTCTAATCTTATCACGGAGAGAGGAGGCTCGTTTAGATCTGGGCGGGGTTGTGGGCGGTGTGGGCTGAAGAAGTGCTGGTTCCTCTGGAGCTGAGGGTTCTTCTGGAGCTACTGCTGGTGGGGTTTCTTTAACAGGCGAGGGTTCTGGAGGAGAGTCTGGTTGTTTTATTTCAGGTTTAAAGTTGAAGTTAGAGTTCAGCTGGATCTCTAACTCTGCTATCTCAGCTTCTATGTCAGTCTCTACGTGCTCTGTCTCTTCTGCTGGCAGAGGTTCCTCTACTTTAGGTTTCTCTACTTTAGGTGTAGCGGGCTCCTCTAACGAAAACTTTATCTTTATCAGCTCATCAAAATCAGACTGCATATCGTCCACCTCAGGCTCAGCTACTGACTCAGGTTCTGGTGTAACCTCTGTGATAGGCTCTGGTTCTGCGGTCTCAGGCTCATCTTTGTCGGAGAGGATAGATTCTCTAAAGGCAGCAGCTTCGTCTTTACTTTCGTTCAGTTTTATCGAGAGAGCTGTCGGATCTATTGCAGCTTCTTCTGACGTAGACGATATTCCTGCAATGTATAATGTATAATGTATAATGTATAATGTATAATGTATAATGTATAATGTATAATGTATAATGTATAATGACGATATTCCTACAATGGTGAATTGTTCTAGTCTCAAACTTTAATCCATAATACATAGACTAGATTATCGATAGAAAGCTAAATCCTGATATCGGACATTCAGTTGAATCACAACCCTGGCTAGAAACAATGGAGATGTAGTATATTATATACAGGGTGTACCACATGTCAATATAATGTACTGTATAGTATATTTGTGTCTATACCTGAGATCCTGATGCAGGTAGGAGAATATATAATGTATAATGTATAATGTATAATGTATAATGTATAATGTATTATAATGTATAATGTATAATATTTGTATATACCTGAGATCCTGATGCTTGTAGGAGAATGTATAACCTCTCTCTCTAGAGACTCCATGATAGCATCTGCTGATTCGTCTGACTTCAGGGAAATCTTCTCGCTCTGAACAAATTGTAATTTTCATAATATTTAATCATCTTTACGTAACTTTACTGAGTACATCACTTCTTGAAACACGTGATTCACCCTATCACAAACTGGGTCTACTAACTCGGTAAGTTTTCATTTTGTAGTTTAGGTTACGTAACTTTATTTTGTTCTAAATAAGACATACCGAGAGTCTACCCCCAGACTCCAGTGACCTGAGTGACCCAGCACCCACTATAGCGTCAATTACTTGCTGGTCCACTAGTTCCGGCTGGTAGGACTCTACTTCTGCGGAGTTCAGTAGGTCGACTTCACTTGGTCTCGGTGAAACTGTCAAAATAAGTAGAGATGTAAATCATTGAGGTGTTCATTAAATCCACCATTAATGCGCGCAGATTGTTTAATTTCAATGTTTTGTAGGTAGGTAACAGTAGTATAATGAGGGGGCAGGGAGGGGGGCCGGGGAGGGGTGCCGGGGAGGGGGGAGGGGAGGGTGGAGGGGGGAGGGGGGAGGGGGAGGGGGGAGTGGAGGGGGGCCGAGGAGGGGGGCCGGGGGAGGGAGATAACCTACCTGCAGGAGATTGTCGCTGGAACTCCTTCATAAGCTCATCAGGATCAAGTCCTCCTGATGACGAAACAAAGACGTCAGCTTCAAATGATGACGTCACGTTACACTTCACCTGTAGAGACACGGACTAAGTGATACATCTATATACACTAGATTCACTAAGTGATATAAAACATCTTGGTCATTCTTCCGTGATTGAGTGACTGATTTCATTCTCGGTGTAACTGTCATATAAGTTAATTTCATACAATCTCTTTTGTTTGCAAGAAGGAGACAATAACTACACCAAATTTGAGGGTTTGTGGTAAATCAGAAGAATATTCTAGAAGCAGACTGACCAGGTGGGTGGGACTATCCTGGATGATTCCAGAACTTCCTGTAACAGACCCTCCCGGGGACGCAGCAGGAGGGGTCTCCTGGAGAACTGGTTTAGTGGGGGTCACTACTTCTGGTACTGATAAAAAGAGTAGTATTATAAATTATTGAAGAGTTATTCGTGTGTTAACGGTGATACTAAAAGGGGGGGGGGGGGGGGGGGGGGGGCCTAATATGTACCACGTGTTTACCACATGTAATATGTAACACGTGTTTACCACATGTAATATGTACCACGTGTTTACCACATGTAATATGTAACACGTGTTTACCACATGTAATATGTACCACGTGTTTACCACATGTAATATGTACCACGTGTTTACCACATGTAATATGTACCACGTGTGTACCACATGTAATATGTACCACGTGTGTACCACATGTAATATGTACCACGTGTTTAACACATGTAATATGTACCACGATGTTAATATAATTGACGATTAATGAGTGTAAATAGAACCTTTCTCTTACCGGGAGTTGGTATAGGAGATTTAGCGGTGTCTAGAGAAGTGTTACTCTTATCCACTGAAATAGTGTTTCACTTAGTTAGCATCTCTGTTGAGAGTAGAGTTGGAAAACTGCAGATCATAGCCATTTAAAATAAGTGTAATTTAGGTAAAATGGTCTTATGTAAACACTAAACAGCCCATTAAAAAACACTTACCCTAATTAAAAACACTTACCCTAATTAAAAAACACTTACCCTAATTAAAAACACTTACCCTAATTAAAAAACACTTACCCTAATTAAAAACACTTACCCTAATTAAAAAACACTTACCCTAATTAAAAACACTTACCCTAATTAAAAAACACTTACCATAATTAAAAAACACTTATCCTAATTAAAGAACACTTACCCTAATTAAAAACACTTACCCTAATAAAACACTTACCCTAATAGCCTAATTAAAAAACACTTACCCTAATTAAAAAACACTTAATTAACCCTTACACTTACGTCTGTTTGGTCTCCTCCTGCTTGCTCTGAGTTTTCCTCTTGCTATCATGTCTTTTCTCCGTTTCTCTTCCTCCGTTTCATCCAGCTCTACTTTCCTGAAATAACGAGACAGTTTTGAAACTTGTTACCACTGAAACTATCGCAAGACTTGAGTAATGAACGATTATTTCAGACTTTCCAGAAGGGTCTGTCATAATATGTCAGTACTCTGTTACTTTTCATGTCAAGATTATTTGGGGGAAGAGGGGGAACCCCAAAAATACCAATAGTTTATACCTATTTTGAACTCGGACTCGGAGAGGATAATAGGTTGCCCCCCGGCCCCCATTCATTTATTACAGATACTCATCGTCAGTCACCTAATACCTATGTAGTATGTACGCTACCTCGACTCTAGTTCGTTACATATTGAAGTTCGGCGGGGTTAATTTCTAGTGAAACGTTTTGAAGGCAAAAAACATATTTTGGCCTGGCACAGACCCAGTTTTGCCTTTCTTTATTTGGTTTAGTCTGTCGCTGTAATACCTGTTTTTTAGCCATTTTTAAAGGCATAGAGACAATTTGTTAAGTACTGAACCTTTGAAACAGTTTTGTACACGTTTTAGGGGGGGGGGGGGGGAGGGGGGAAGGGATCAGGGGGGCAGGGGGTGTCACAGTATTGGTGGGCAGAGGGTCACAGTATTGGGGGATGGGGGGGGGAGGGGGGCAGGGGTGTCACAGTATTGGGGGGGGGGGGGGCAGGGGCGGGCAGGGGGGAGGGGGTAGGGGGGTAGGGGGGCAGGGGGGAGAGGGGGTGTCACAGTATAACTTACCTCAGCTTAACAGCGTGTATAAAGATAGGTGACAAGTAAGACATGTTGTGTTGCGACAAACAACTCAAATATGTGTACATCACTCACTAGATGGTATATCTGAATTGTAACTAGCTTAGAGAAGTTTCATTTAGTAACCCGGACAAGATAAAAACAAGGACAAGGCGAATAGAAGAATTTTCTACAAAACAAACGAAAGGTATTTTTGTACAACTCTAAGTTTTAAGTATGAATCAAGTACTGCTTGTTTTATTAACTTCTGTGGCTAACTAATGTATGGGGCAAATAAAGAGACAAAGTCAGAGGAACGGTCAAATGTATATAACAGCAAGAGTGTCGGTACAAACAAAGAAGATCTGGTTTAAGGAAATCTGGTTGAAGCACCCGGAAATGAGCACCTTTATATTAACTACTACTCCACTAAATATAATAGTGTACTGTAGACATTGTATACTGTATCGATTGCTTCGACCAGTCTAGTGGTCTAGTACGTAAGCGTTTCATATTAGATTTACTCTCAGAGAATATTGCGGTGCTGACTGCTGAGCAAAAACTGTAATTCGCCACTAATTTATCTTGCAAACGGAAAATGGAATATTAATATTGAAATGCAGAGTGGTGCAGTGATGTTAAATCTGTAGTACAGTCTAGCACAAATTCATCATTACCTTATATGGCAGTGTCACTATGGTTACATACCCATATATGGCAGTGTGCAGTTAGCTCCAATTCAACACGAGCTAATTAGTTTTAATAAAGTCAGTAACTAACCTGCTATAATAACTGTAACATGACAGGGGTGCGGCAATGACAGTATTAATGACAGTATTAATGACAGTATTAATGTGTATGCAAGAAAGTAGACTTGCAGATTGGCCCGCTTCTCCAGATCTTTTCGCTATAAAATAATGTGTACACTATTTGGTTATCTCTGGCGATAGCGCTGAATCACCAGCGGGATCATTCCCCCTTGCTGTACAGCTCATTCGGAATCAGCGTCCAAAATACAGATTCGAATGGAGTTACTTTCATACCCTCAGGACCTTTCCACAAGATTTTTAAAGAAATTGAGCGGGTGTGCCATCACAGAGAATCGCCAATAATTTTTACTGTCACTTAAAAAATGCTAATAAACACTAGCAGGAAACCGATCGATTCGTATCTAATTAAACCGTTCGATCAAAAATACGGCTTTTATGCTTTACAAAGAGTTCCATCAGAATTTTAGATTCGATAAATTGTTGACAAAGCAACAAATTCACTTGCACCATATCTGTTGTCGGCGCCCCTAACAACACCACATCAAATAGACTAGTGACCATAATATCTTATAATTGGACTTACAACAAAACATTACCAATGAAATATAACAGCTTTATTAGGATAGATCAGAATTTGAGTTGAAACGTTCAACGAAAGCGGTTTCAGCAAAACTTTTGTTTTTTCGAACCAGACTACAGGCGGGCAATGCAAGATGGGGAGGAATATTAGGGGAATATTAGAGGAATATTAGATCACAAAATTCAGTTATTATGCTGCAGGTTGAACTTCTGGAAATCAAAGCAGTTGAAAACACGAACACGAACCAGGAATATGATTTATTGTCGTTTCGTGTACCATGTTTGTCTGGTGTCAAAGAGAACTGCAACTTTGAGAGAGTTTTAACATATTATCTTGGACGATATATTGTCATTAGTTTGGAGACAGAGGCTTACGGACGTGTGACAACGAGTAATTTGAAATTGGTTGCAATACTGGCTCACTAACTATTTAGTTTTGTCAATTTGGTTACTGGGAAGGTAAACACCAAACCATATATACTAATTACAGATCAGCATCACTAAGTTGTTAAAGCTCACCTCATTCAAATCTTATGATATTGTTATTATCTTAACAGTTACTATTGTAGCTTAAGATTTTAAATTTGTATTCCTTGTATTCCTTGTATTCCTTGTATTCCTTGTATTCCTTGTATTCCTTGTATTCCTTGTATTCCTCTCCACAATTTACTATTACTAACCTGTTTGTTAAGACTGAGGGCGTGGTTCGTTTGTGTTCCGGCAACTGTAACCTAGCAACTGTAACCTAGCAACTTTAACCTAGCAACTGTAACCTAGCAACTGCAACCTAGCAACTGTAACCTAGCAACTTTAACCTAGCGACTGTAACCTAGCAACTGTAACTATAGCTCACCCCTCCACAATTTACTATTTCTAACCTGTTTGTTAAGACAGAGGGTGTGGTTCGTTTGTGTTCCGGCGACTTCTTCAGCTCTTTGTGTTTCATGAGCGATACTGCTTGTGCTGCGAGTAATGTCTTAGAGAAATAGTAGAAAATGAGTGGTATAGTGCCTGTGACACCACAAATAGATCGTAAGTTTTAGAGAAATAGTACAAAATGAGTGGTATAGTTTCTGTGACACCACAAATAGATCGTAAGTTTAAAGTTAGACTGTCATAACGTCAAATAAATTTTAAAAAACCTAACAGCTAGCTTATCATTAAATTCAATCGTTGTGGAAGAAGAAGTAATCTTGAACCTATTCTAATAAAAGTCACTCACGCTCAGCGTTCTTGAAGTTCTGGTAAAGTTGATCCACGAATGTGATAATACTAAGCTTATCCAGCCGCCTCTTGTGGAAATCAATAGGGTCAATACTTGGCATCAAGCCAAGTTCTACAGCTGCTTTAGTTGCTTGCTTAACGTTAGAGTACGGGTCGTTCAGCTGACCCATCTTACTGAAATATTCGTAAAGTTTAAGTCTCTTGGTTCAAGCTGATCAATATGAATGTTTTTATGTAAGGAAATGCTCAGAGGGGGGGGGGGGGGGGGGGGGGGGGGTTTCCCCGAGTTTTATTGCATTTCTCAATTCCCTATTAATTCAATCATAACAGTGCAGAATTCCTTGCACTTTGAGCCCTCACACACAAATACATTACATCACAAACACGCGAATTCCTGGGATACCAAATGACACTCACATTAATTCAGGGCAGTATTTGTGGATGATAGCACAGAAAGCCTTGCCGTCACCCCACGAATCTTTCAGATCTACGATAGCTATGTCTTTATAACTGTCTGTTTCCTTACTGGCCCAAGCTGAAATACATTTGTGAGATTAGTACAATTAGGAAAGAAATAATTAGTGTACACTGTACATGTATTTTTAGCCCCCTTTTGCACTTGGCAATATGGGGCAGCTGTCTGTATCCGATTTCATTAATTAATTTGTCTAATTAATTTGAAACATGCTGCGCGTAGCACCAGCGCGCGCGGTATGCAAGATCTAATGCGCTCCGCTCAACCTGAACCAACATATATCGCGCGTTCCGTTTAGTCTACTTTTAGCGACCTTTACACTTCTCAAGTGGTCTTAACATTTGATGTCTCGTGATATGAAAAGGGTTGCACCAACACATAAGCAAGCCAGGGGTGATAATGATATTTGTGTCGCAACATCTGCTGAATGCAAGCTGCAACTACCGATAGGCCGTGTAAAACACAACCTGTAGACATAGCATCGTCACGGGGGTCAAACAGTTCAAGCCTTAAAAGAACTTATAGCATATTACAGCAAAACTCGATTAGAGGCAAATTGTTCATACTGGAACAGCAGTTATGCAGACACAGCGTAACTGTCTTACAGGCTTACACACGCACTCTTAATTTCTGGATTTTCTACCTTCGTAACCGTGGTAACTGGTAATGGTAGAAAGTGGTACTATATCGTTTTGACCATAAACCTCCTTGCCTCTAAGTACATGTATCCGTTATTGCCACGTCAGGAAGACTATAATGGATCTTGCAGAATTAGTTCGTTAAAATATTGGCTGGATAGGAGGAGAGGATGTTGTAAAATGTAACGTTAAATTGAGAAAGCGCGGTAAAAAGGGCGTTTCAACTGTTCTCAAGGTGTTTCATGACACTTGGAGTGGGGGGGGGGGGTGGAGCTGACGGGGGGGGGGGGGGGGGGGGGGGGGTGGAGCTGACGGGGGAGTGTGGGGGGCGGGGGTAACAAAATGTATCAAGTTTTAAGGTTGGCTTTTGCAGAAAAATAACATGGTATTTTTGAAAACATTGGACAGTACATTACATAGGCACCCATAACACCAGAATTTCACAATTGGATACGAATCATGATTCGACAATGTGAGACGAATGAATCTGCATACAATCCATATATATATGAATTGTCAAAAACACAGTGCTGATGTGTCATTCGAGTGAACTTTGCACATATTTTATACATAATATATCGTATCGGATAATGCTTTTCTTTGGGCACAACAACTTTAATTTTACAGTGTCTCTTCTATTATGTTATATCATGTACAATGTAAAAGCATTACAAGGTTTCCATCTTTAAATCACTGTGCCAGCCTTTCTAGCTGTAGAGTGTATAGTAGTAGTAGTAGTATAGTAGAGTGTATAGTAGTAGTATAGTAGTAGTAATATAGTAGTAGTAATATAGTAGTAGTAGTAGTATAAGTAGTAGTATAGTAGAGTGTATACTGTATATTAATGCTTTTCAAACAATATGTTGTCAGTCAGATGTGTTTTCATTTTAATAATAACCGAATAAATACGTAAGTCAATCAAAGATACTCTGGATCAAAAATAAAATTGATTTAGAAAAAATAATGAACAATTCACCTAGCATGACAAAATGATAGCTTTGTAGATCATATACTAATTATATGATATAAAGACACATAATAAGATAATATGAAATGTTTGCTGTCCTTAACCTAGCTATTGGTATTCTACAAAGTAAAGTTTTAAAATTAGTCGGATCCCAACCGTTCTAAAAGGCTATCTCGTTAGCTTTTCGTGTTAAAAGCGATTTCTCAACGGTTATCACTTCTCTAGATGATTCTTAAAACATTTGGACTTTATTGCATTTTTGAAATAAATGCAATAAGGGCGTTTTCGGCCGCACCCTTTTTCAGGGTTTCGCGGTCACTCGAATTTTTGTATTTCAGTCCAGGAAGGTCTTAAAGACTATTCCGATACACCAAAATGTGCCTAATAGCCACATTTATATACAAGTTATGAAGCAACATATATCTTAAAATGCTTCGTTTCGGAAATATGGCCGAAAAACGGTTTTTGGCTTGACGCAGTTCATAATTTCCGTGATTTTTGGCATTTCCGCCTAAGAAGGTCGTAGAGACTATTCTGATACACTAAAATGTACATAATGGCCACATTTATATACAACTTATGAAGCAACATATACCCTAAAAGGCTTATTTTCGGAAATGTGGCTGAAAAACGGATTTTTGCCGAGCAAAAAATGACAATATTCACAAATGGGCTATTGGACTGTTAACTAGAACGGTCTTAAAGACTCATGAGCAACATAGCATTTGTCACAAGATGTAAGATGAGTCACTTTGTGTCCAGACACCTACAAAAATTAGAGAATGATCTACTTTATTGGGCATCTCTCTTAATGGGCCAGGCCAGCAGCATATTTGTGTCTTACGAAAGGGCGATTTTTCAAAATTACGGTTTCTTTAGTAAAGGTCAAAGGGTTGGCAGCTAACAGCGAATTGGTCGCAATTGGCGACTCATACACATCATGTACTCAAAAACGCTCACTTTAAGAGTCATTAGTAAATAACTACTACATGATTTGTGAAAACTCCAACAATTTTTCCTAGGTACCAATTTAATTTTTAAATATAATATGTGCCAGACCAAAATTCAACTTCAAACTTTTTATTTATTTATGCCATGAAACCATGATATATGTACCAAGAATACTATACCGGACCTAAAATAAATCAGCACTGGATCTGGTCCAGATTGTTGCTCGACCGCTGACCAGTACCCCACTTTAAAATTATGATTGATTTCGCTGTCTCGACCAATATTGGTCTGTAATCCCTGGTTTGAGATCTGTTGGCCGCAGTTTAATAATACCGCAGTGGTTTGGTTCGCATAGATTTTACCATCGTATGATAATGTGTGTCATTTGCTCGTTTTTAATCAAGTGGTTACTGGCTAGCTCTTTTGTTATTACAGCTGCCTCGAGATCTTATGGGGGGGGGGGGGGGGGGGTCAACCTCATTTTACCTCATTTTACCTCATCCCAATTTTGCCTTTTTTGGCTGGCCTCATGAGGTAAAATGAGGTAAATCTCGGCAAAAATTTTAACAGGTAAAATTCTCTAAATCGTCAATTTAGTCACGAAGGATTATGGAAGGAGTTCTAAATGTGTGCTCCTCTAATATAAACAGTAGGAAATGATTAACTTTAGTCGAGGTCTCAGGTCTCTACAATGTCGGGAAGTTCCTGCAGGAATTTGTGCATTGCGCTTGAAGCGCAAGATTCACAGCGCAAAAAGCGAAGGTCGTAGAGACATGAGACCTTGACTAAAGTTAACCATTTCATACCATTGCTATAAGAGTATGCCACTTTCAGAGTCCTGAACACACTCCCATATCTCTTAATCGTCAATTATATGAATTTTACCTGTTAAAATATATCTTCTTTTACTGATATCATTTTAGTTTTAAAACACTGTTAGTTTTAAAGAAAAAATAATACTTCACACTAAACTAACACACAATATGAGAATATAAAAAGGAAGGTTTTCTTGGAGACCTGGATCGAGCATCAAAATAGTGTACATTGCTACTGTCATTGTCAAGACTCAAGAATAAGAGGGTCTAGTTGTGGGATTATGCTGGATAACAGATATGATAAGTGGTAACATCCTACAAAAGAATGTTAGCTTACTAAGGAATTTTCCTCTTATTGAATCATACAAGAAGTTAACTAAGTTCCTCCTAGTCCTAAGCATTATCTTGTTTCAGAGGGAATGAGTGATTTAAAAAGATGAGGCCGAAGAGTTAGTTGTGAAGAAGGCATTTGTACTCTGTAATTTCTAAGCTAATTTTTTTCGATATTTTTAGCTATTTACTGATCTTGTCTTGACGTATCAGCAAGAGATCACTGGACCTCGTTAGTTGTTAGTCATGTTATGCTGATCCAGTTAGTGACCAGCTATGAAGTAATCATTCGACCTCATTTAATACTGATCCTATCAATGACGAGCTATGAAGTAATCAGTGGATCTCGTCAATGCTCATCCTGTCCGGACTGTCACTGACGAGTTATGAAGAAATAAATGAAGACCTCATTAATTCCCTTGTTCCAAGTAGATATTCCTCTGGTAACAGCCCCTTCTGAACATAATATTATGAAGATTCGAAAACCTAGTCTACCTTAATTGAAACTTGCTGACTGCATTGGAAAATGGAGAACAATCGAGAAATGATAATCAGTGCCAGGATATAATCAAAGTTGAATTTGGAATCCAAGGAAAACCTTCCTTTTTTATATTATCATATTGTGCGTTAGTTTGGTGTGAAGTATTATGTTTTTTTAAAAAATTAACAGTGTTAAACTAAATTGATATCAGTTAAAAATGATATATTTTAACAGGTAAAATTCATATAATTGACGATTAAGAGCTGTAGGAGTGTGTTCAGGACTCTGAAAGTGGCATACTCTTATAGCAATGGTATGAAATGGTTAACTTTAGTCAAGGTCTCATGTCTCTACGACCTTCGCTTTTGGCGCTGTGAATCTTGCGCTTCAGCGCAATGCGCAAATTCCTGCAGGAACTTCCCGACATTGTAGAGACCTGAAACCTCGACTAAAGTTAACCATTTCCTACTGTTTATATTAGAGGAGCACATATTTAGAACTCCTTCCATAATCCTTCGTGACTAAATTGACGATTTAGAGAATTTTACCTGTTAAAAATTGGTGAAAAATATGGGCGTGGCCCAAGTCAGTATTATACGAAACCGTAGAGACACAAATAATTTTTTGGTTGTTCCCGACCCTATAGAGCAACTAATTAGAGGTGATATCTAATTATTTAAACGAAAGGTGGTTTTGTGAACCGCCCTTTATTCTACAGCGAATCATGAACATTGAACATGTACATAAGAACTTAGAATTGTATGAAGTATGAGTTTATATGAGTAATTTATTATAAAATTACCTTCCACTATGCAATTTCGACTAAATTCATGTAGATATCCAATCCAGTTCCATGCACAACTGTTGTTTACATTTGG